AGTGCTCTACTTATATTATCAATCGGATGTAAAGATAAGGAAACCTAGACATATGGAAGATACGTCGCTTGCCAAAAGCAACATAACTTATGTTGTACAGACTACCACAGTTCTTGTGGCAGAACTGGGATTTAAAACCAAGCAATCAGATGCCAGCGTCGCATAACTACTATTGTCTCCTGCTACTGTCATTGCAATCAGCATTAATAAAGCCAAATCTTAGTAATTCATGACAATAGGGATTAGATGGGTAAGTGAAATCAAATAAAATCATGGATGGCCCTCAAACCTCATTTGAGTTTGGGCTGTCATTTCTGTTTTCCCAATCAAAATCTCTAAACAACCTAATTGGTAACAAAATTATCAGGTTTAAATTATGTTCTTTTTCTTTTAATTATGTAATTCTTAATAAAAAAGAAATGGGCTAGAATGCAGGAAAAAGGAGCTTTGTAATGGATACTTTATAAATTATAATTTATAATTCAGGGATAGTCATCCCTAAATAATGAATTGCGGCAAAGCATTTTTGAAGAATTCAGATATGTGAAAACATATTTTATATATTCTTAGGAGAAACTTATCTGATTATTTTGAATATTTAAATATATTGAGCTCATAGGTGTCTTCGGCCATCATTTAAAGACAGTAGCAAGTTAAATTGTCATTACAGACTACTATTTGAATGGGAGTTTTTATCGGATGCTTTCTGAATTTCTTTATCGAGGAAATTATTTCTCAGGGTAAAAAGGCAAATAGAAATATAAGGATCAAAATAAAAAGTTGGGTTAATCATGGCTGTTTTTGGGAGGACTGATGTCCAACTTCTTCCTTCATGCCATTTAAGTTGGACTTATTTTAAACACCAATTTTTGTTTTAGGTTGAACAAATCCTGGCAGAATTTAAGATCAGAGCTCTGGAATGTCACCCTGACAAGCATCCTGAAAACCCCGAGGCTGGTAAGAATTTAATAATGGTTATTTTTCAAGAAAATGAATAGCATATAGAAGCAAAAAGCCATTGAATAGTAACTTAATTTTCTTTTATCTCTTATGCTCAAATTTATTCTTTCATTCAATGCGAAAGGTTGTTTCTGCACTGTTGGGTTGGTAGAAGGGGAGAGGACTGTGTAGTCTTTTACAATAGAAGTTGTTTAGCACTCATTTTTCTTTCTTCCATAATGTGTTGCTTCATGGTTTAAAATTTGTCCAGTTCATGTTTTATTTCACTAGCTATTGAGTGTTAATATGACTGAAGTATGTTTATAACCAGGTGGTTTTCTTGATGAGAACTTGCTGTGTTTTTTTCATTTTGGAGGACCTGAATATGTCCATGTATTGATGCTTTTGTTTCTTTCCGTTATCATCATCATGTTATCATCGTTTAAATATGCTTATGTCATCCAAGCTTGAAAAAATTACGAAAACCCAATAATTCTTCTGCAACATGTCTCTATCCTGCACCTTCCCCATCTCCTTCGTTTCAGAGCCAAACTTCCTGAAAAAACGTCGACAGTCGATATTTCCACTTTCCTTCTCCCCAGTTTTCCATTTATCCCACTCTGACTTTCTCCCCACTTTTCTTGGAAATGGACCAAGGACTTCCTGCTTGCCAAATCCAGTGGTTGCTCTTTAGTCCTTATCTTTCCTGAGCTTGCATCAGAATTTGGCACTATTGACCATATCTTTCTTGTTGAAATACTCTTCTCTGAGCTGCTGGGAAAACGTGCACTCGCGGTTTCCCTCCAGCCTCTTGGGCTGCTCTTTCTCAGTCTCCTTTGTGAGTCCTTCTCGGCTGCCCCAAGGTTCTCTCCTAAGCTCTCTTCTGAGCTTACTTACTCCCCACTCCCTCTCTGGAGCCTTGTCCCAATTTGTGGCTTCAATCACCAGCTCTCTGTTGATGGCTCCCAGATCTCTCCTTAGTCCAGTTCTCGCCCCTCATCTTCAGCCTACAGTTTTGACTGCTTCTTGGAAATCTCCATTTGGAAACTTTTCAGTTGCCCTGTGAAAAACTGGACTCATTAAAAATCTTGCTTATTTTTCTGTGTTTCTGCATCTCAATGAACAACACCACCATCCGTTCAGTTGGTCAAGCAGAAACCTTCTCCTTCCTCTCCCTCATGACTGCGTCTGGTTGATTACCAAGTGCTGTTGAATTACCTTCCATCTCTCTCTCTTCTGTGCTTCTTCCTTCCAACCTCACCGCCACTGCTGTAGGTGAGCCACCCTTTAATTGTTTCACATTGCAGATAGTGATTTTCCTTTTTAATTATGGAAAAAATAAAAGATTTAACATATACAAAAAGGGATAAAGAATACTATAACAGATGCCCATGTAAGTACCACCCAGCTTAAAACAGTACCAGTGCACTTGAAGCCTTTTGTGTATTCCTACTCTGATTTTATCCTCAGGGTAAGGTAATTTTATATCTTAAATTTGATGATTATGTTTACTATATGTTTATAGTATGCATGTATATGTGATTTTTCTATAATGAAAATATGATACTAAGACCTGTCTGTAACTCCACATTGCACAAACCCAAACTCTATTTAGAAAACTTTCTCCTTGTCTTAAAGCTCTTTATTAATTTTCTCTAGAAATCATTGGTCCCTTTGATTTGTATAAACAGATCTTTTTCCAATATATGAAGTCACCTTTTGTTAGATAATTAATCATTACTTTTGTTCGTTGGATTTTCTCCCTTTTTATTAAAGCATATTGTGTGCAGTGTGAGCAAATCATAAGTACAAGCTTAATAAATTTGTGCATATGTATAACCAGTTTAACCACTGCCCGGATGAAGATGTAGAACATTTTCAGCACCCTAGAAATCCCTTTTCATTTTCTGCTCAAACTCAGCAACCTCTTCCATTTTTTGGTCTCTATCACCACTGATTAATTTTGCCTACTTTTGAATTTCATATACTTGGAATCATACAATATGTACTCTTCTGTGTGTGGTTTCCTTTGCTTTACATTATGGTTGTGATATTCACCCATATTGCACGTGTAGCAATAGTTCATCCTTTGTCTTTGCTGGGACTTTAGTTACAAGCCCTTTCATGCTGTGCACCCTCTCAATCCTCCACCCTCGTTTTCTCTCCACCACCAAACTCCTGTTATAGCCACTCAGAACTACATTGGGTCCTTAATGTGCCCTATTCCCTGTTCTGTCTACTCTTCAGACCTCTACACCAACTGCTTCCTCTGCCTGGAGCACCACCGAGGCCTGCACCCTTACCTGCCCTGCTTTGCTGGGCTAGGTCATGCTCCTGCTCCAGGTCTCAGCTTAGCCATCACTTCCTCTGGGAAGTCCCATGTGTACCAGCTGCCCAGAGCACATTGTGCGCCAGGCAGCAGACTGTGTATCTCATCGTCTCCTTGTTGCCTGTTTGCTCGTTAGTCACTGGAAGCTCAGTGAGGCAGCCCCCCTGCTTGTCTTGTTCACAGTGGTATGCCCCGTACCTAGCATAGCACCTGCTGCAGAGGTCACCTGCTGTGCATAATTTCTTGAATGAATATATGAATGAATGAATCCATGAACATTTCCTTAGGAGTCATATTAACCACCTCTCTGAGCTAGAGTTAATATTAAGATAGATGTCCCAGTATAAATTGTAAAAATTTGATAAAGGCTTAAAAACCACCACCACCCTAGGTTATTCTTTAACTCGGTTGTTTTCCAGTGACACGTGACTCTGAGTTGTTTCTCTGCCCCTGACGAGCAATTTCTATTCAGGATACATGATGAATCACTGTGCAATCATTGCCATTTCTAGTTGCCATAGTGATGGCAACTAGAGTTTCATGTATGAGCTGCCTCAAGGCGTCTTGTTCAGAGAAACACTGGACTGTGTAAATATTGCTTAAAATGAGTAGGTACACAGACATCAATATCTTCCCTTGTCAGGCTTGCAGTAGATACGTGATTTAACCTTCAGGTTGAGATTCTTTTTTAATCTATTTAGACATCTATTTACTCAGTTTGGACTAATATGACTTTCTGAAAATTTAAAAGGTTCTTTACACACTTGGAAAAGGATTAAGGTTACTTATAAAAATATACATATTTATTTGGGCAGCTGGCCAGTATGGGGGTCTGAACCCTTGATGCTCTACAGAGTGAGTTGTAATTGAGTGAGCTCACTGGCCAGCCTAAAAATATTTTTATAAATTCACCCAGATACTGAATTTTAACTTGACAGAAATCCAGAATATAATGAACAAAGTTTGAAACATATCTCAGTAAGGTGAAGAGCTACCCTGTAGAGGAACTGTAGGTAGGAGAAATTAAACTTGTATATATTACTTTTTCAGACACTAAATTTAGTCTCAACTGTTGCCATTGAAATTGCTCATACGTTAGCGTGATGGAGGAGTAGATATGAACACAGGCTTGTCTGTCTGGATTGCTCCGTCTCCCACTTATGAGCTACTTGACCTTGGGCAACCTCTCTGAGCCTCAGCATTCTCATAGGTAAAATGGGTAGACTAATAGTATATGACTTCACGCATCTGCTGTGAGGATTCAACGAGACGTTCTGCATGTGGGAAGTGCTCAGTGAATACTGGCAATTAGGATTCAGTGGACTTTCTTTTCTTGTTTTTATGTTGCAGCCCAAGATAAAAATTTAACAAAATGGGATGTTTTTCTTTTTTGTAAGCAACCATTAGATCTTTCTCTAAATTATTTTTAAAAACTCTAAATCTAAAGCCTTTAGATATCTCTTCCCCTCTCCAGGTGTGGGTGATATAGCAGGACTGGTTGTGCTATAGCAGTTGGGTCATTGAGCCCAAAAGCTCCTGGCTGGTGCGCCTGTCAGCTTCTTGTGTGTGCACCAGTAACTGTTTCAGATCAACAGTTTATTAACTTCTCTTTGATCATGAAGAAAGGAGGTTTCAGACTAAATTAAGGACTTGTGAGATGGTAGTTTTGTTACTGATACGCAAACTTCAAAGAAACTTGGATATTTAAAGAAGAGCAATTTTCCCTTTGCTAACTTATATATATATATATATATATTTTTTTGGTGGCTGGCCAGTATAGGGATCTGATTTCTTTTTTTTTTTTTTTCCTTTTTGTCTTTTTTCGTGACCGGTAATGGGATCGCAACCCTCAGTGTCGCGCCCGTACCGCGACCGGCAACGGGATCGCAACCCTCGGTGTCGCGCCCACACCATGCCAAACCAGTGAGCGGACCGGTCTCTATATGGGATCCGAACCCTCAGCGGGAGCGCCGCCCTCTACCGAGTGCGCAACCGGGCCAGCCCAGGATCTGAATTCTTGACCTTGGTGTTATCAGCACCACACTCTAACCAACTCAGCTAACCAGCCAAGCCCCTAACTTATCTTTTATTGTCTCAGTGTTTTTCTACTTTAAAATCACTTCAGTGGAATAGACGGTCCCCAGCATCACTCTTTCCCACAAATCAACCAATTTACAACTATTAAAAAGCAACCACAGCTAAACTGGGGCCGCTAGAGCTCAGGGGAAGAGGAGGAGAGACCTACAGAGTTCATGAAGACAGGAGAAGCCACTATGAAAGAAAGAGGGAACTGCTCTGACCGTTTTGAGTCCTGGCCACTTCCAGGCTGGAGCTGGTGAGCTCATGGAGCAGGAGCTGGCAAAAGCCACAGCTGTGTCCTTCGGATGAAGTTGCTTGGAGGCTGTAGGAGAGAAGAGGGTCTTGGTGGTCCCCAGGCCAGCAAGACTACTAATAGGGTTCCCCTGGACCCACATAGGAGCAAGGAGCCACAAATGAAAAAAAGGAGCCACTCAGAAGCTGGTGAGTCATCGCAAGGGACTGGTGCATGGCCCGTCCCATGGGAAGTGTTTGGAGCATGGGTGGTGGTGAACACAGGCACAGCAAGGACAGCTGAACTGCCCCTCAACAGCACAGGATCACTCAGAGGAGACTGGTCAGGAATATAGAACTGCAAGGGGTGCCGTTTGCT